AAAAAGAATTAAAAAGAATTTCTTCCTTATCTGATAATTATTTTTTAAATAAAACTCATCTGTGGATTTGAATATAACCTGTATTTATGCCCCTTGTGGCCGAGGGGTTGCCTTCCATGTTTGGTGCATAAGAATTGCAGCCACAATTAGTCAATGAGCAATTGTAAAAGGTGACTAAACGTGGGTTCGGATTATTAAAGTCTATGCATCAGCTCAAGCAAAATAGGTCGTTTTGACCCTTGGGGTTAGGCAAAATCTCCCTTCCTATTTCGGTGCCATATGACCTTAACTGTGTTACTGCACTTTCAAACATTCCAAACAAACAGCTACGTGTATTTACCGGTATTTATTTAAATGTTTTTCTCTGTTTTAATGATTTTGTTTTTATTAGATTCCAAAACTGATAAAATATATATAACTTACTGACTTTAAGTCATATGTGAATTTTATGTAAAATATGATGAACATCATCAATAAGGACAAGTGGCGTTCAATGAACGCAACCCACACATGATCCAGCTACAAGGATCAGCGGCAAGGAGCCAAGCAGCAATCAGGACAATGCACAAGGCAAATCACAGACCGGAAAATCACATTCATAATAAATAAAAGAAAATCATAGTAATCGAAAAGGAAATTAAATACTTTAATGTAAATATGCGAAATAATAAACTTTTAAAAATTGTTTATGGATTTTCTAATTAACTTAAACATCTTTATTTAAGGCGAAAATAAATAGTGTTAATAGAAAGAGTATTTATTGAAATTCTATAATTCCTAAAATACGAATATCAGTCCTGTTAATCGTGTCTTTATTCTATCTGACAATATATAACGAAAAATACATAGATGTGTTATTTGGCATTACTTATTATACTAGACTACATGTATGGAAACACATAATAATACAATGTTGTGCTTAATGGTGTGTATCATGTATATAATATTTTAAATTCTATTTGAAGAAAGCTATTAATGCAAAAAGACATTATACAACAGCTCTATTTCAGTTATTTGAAAAATTTCAGGGTTAAATTTCACAGCTGTTGTAAATCAAGATGTGATCGTCAGAACTTTATATCATCTAAACTGCTTTATATCATGCAAACGTTGTATCTTTACCAAATCAGATTAAAGAGAAATGATTTTTCAATATACTTTCATAACACCAAGCTACACATGAATGAAAGATCGAATCATTACAATTTCAAGTTAATCAGATTTTAAACAATTTACATCTACAAATACGTTCAAGTCTATGAACAGCATGTGTTTGGCTTTGCAAACACTCTGTTACCCTTGAATAATAAATATAAAATAACGCACGCTGTTTAATTTGTACATTAAATTGTCTGTCTACACAACACTATGACCAGCCTGTTCTCTTACATTATTTTTTTAATTTTGATATTCATATTTATGTTATCAACCAATATTGCAACATATTGCAATTACCAAAATGTTATTTAAGTAAATTTCCAAATGATAAAGAATGAAATACGCAAAAATAATTGTATTTCTATAATATAACTATAAAAAATGAGAAAAACAGGAACAATTAATAAACGGTCTGTTGAGTGAAAGAACAATTTACTTTTGGCCTTTTAGGGAAGTTGGTAAAACGAAGCGTTGATAACAATAATTTGTGTTTTTATCGCACTCACGGGATGTTCTATCGCACAATTCTTACCCTTCATCTAACAATTAAATGCCATTTAATCTAAGCAAAAAAGTCATAATCCTTTTGTCCGAATCATATACATGTGTATTGTATTTTATCATTTCCGTTGTAGGATTAAATACATCAGCGGGTGTCATGCTCTATTTAAATTTCTTTATTCAAGCGGTTGTTTGTATTCCTGATTCCTTGGGATTTATAATTATAATAATGAATTGAGTGTATATGATTGAACAGCTCATTACCTATTCGCTTATTAATATACTAATTAAAATCTCGTCTCGATGTTCACTTATTTGCTTTATTTCAATATACATGTATATCATAGAATATCCATTTTACAGAAAGGTACTTGAGGTCTTCATCTAACAATAAAGCCAGAATGTCGTTATATTTTCTTTACAGTATTAATGCAACTAAACATGCATCAAAACAAACACATTTAGAAGAGATTGAGTAGTTGAACTTTTTTATAATTTATCGGGAGCAAGATAACAATACTTTCACATTCACATATATCGTTATGGAATCAAATTAAAGAGAGTAACCTCTTTCAACCTAAGAGTTTTGCAATTATGATTACAAAACACGTTATGTGCAGAAACACATCCATTAAGTTGTTATCAGTAATCTGAATCTGATGTATGCTTTTAAGAACTGGATAAGACTGTGGTAATACTGTGTAGTTCAATCCCGCTCAACTTTTACTGAATATCATTAGTAAGTAATACAATCTGTTTCACGTTTCACACATTTCGAATATTATCAAATTACTGTTCTTGCATGTTCAAATATTCTTTTTTATAATTCCAATTTTATAAATCAAGCTTCGTGTTTATTCCCAGACCCCAAATAATCCTTATCAATTATCTAGTTTATGTTTAACTAGTTACGTTTTCATTTTTTAAATAATAAATATTAATATAAGATCATTATTGTTCTTCGTCTAGTCTCGTATTAATTTTCAGAGTCGAAGACTTCCGTAATAAATCATTCTAAAGAAATGTTCTATCTAAATGTAATAAACAAAAAAATAATGGCGGCATGAAACAAAGAGGTCATTAACATTAAACAGCAATTACAGTTTTTTTGGACTTTTTACTGGAAGTGCCTTAACCAATATTTGTTTGAAGAGGCCGTGTACTCTGCCCTTACATTCCATTATTGTACTCAATAATTATATCATAATGAATACGAAACGTTAAGCAAAATAAATCAAGGTCACTGTTGTTTATTCAATTACATTTTTTTCCTTAATTAAGTGTCATCAAATCCTGTTTTATTTTGTTTGGTTTGGCTTTCAGACTTAAGGCTTTGAGCAAGGTAGTATAAATAGGAATCTTTTGCATTCAGCTTTTTTTTAAATAATTTTTCTCGTAAACTAAAGATAACAAAAGAACGTCGCCATATTTCTTAACAGAATGTCAAACTTTAACATGACATGTTGCTTCAAGACACATATAAACACAATGATGTAATTTTATATATCTTGCAACACTTAAAGCTTTATCAATTAATTATTTATGCCAAACACCTGTTTATGAACTTAAAAATCATTTACTGTGTGATTATCTATACGCTTTATTACAGATTTTGTTAGTACCAAGTTAATACCAAACGATTTTGTTTCTGCACTCAGAAATTTAAGTAGTGCTGCAGTTTACAGTTTCTTTCAAAACGGAACTGTCAATAAAAATCATAATTTTGTCTGTGAACTGCCAATCATTCTACTATGACTTCTACCATGTTCCAACAAATTTTCTCTAAAATATCATGATGGCGCAAATAGCGGGACTTACATAAAATGAGCGTACTTACTGCATTAGAATAATGAAGGTTTTCATATTATGTTCAGCATATTAATGTTGATAATAGTTATCCAGGGATCTTGTAACAGTACAGAAGATAACAAACATTAAAATCAACATATATGGTGTTTTGTTTATTCCACCAACTTACCACAGGGTCATCTAATTAGGAAAGAAAAGAGAGTAAACTGTGTTAAAAATAATGAATAACTTTATGCGTAACAACATTTAATCATACAACAATCATGTTTTCAAATGATTTGTTATTCAATATTTTACATCCTTCGCATCAATAGATGATGATAAAATTGTTACTCAAGATTAATTTCATGCAGATTAAATACAATGTACTGAAAGATTTGTATAATGATAAAAATCTATACATTACTCGGATCAACACTTAGCTGGAAAATGGAGCATAAAAATAATTCAAAGTTAACGATATACAGTACAACTTCTACAGAGAAACACCCTATGAGTGACACAGATTTTTGTTGCTGTTAAGAGATGTTGCTTTTACAATGGTTATACTGTATTCTGGTCACTAAATTAAATGATTTGAAACATGTAATGATTTACAATGTCATACGACTAATAAAAGAATCTTTGTTCTTTGCAAAGACATACGTTGCATACGTATAAAATGCAGTTGTTGAGTACAAATTCAAAGACAGTATGAAACAAACAAAATGTTTTGATAGAATTATCGAAAAGTAACAGAAATGTATTAAGTGAGACGCAAATAAGTGTTTCAAAAGATAAATGCATAACTAAATACATTTATAATTAATTAATTAATTAACGAAATTTCAGCAGATGATTATGAAATAAAATTACTTAAAAGTGGTATCTGTATCTCCCACATGATATGAGATATACATGTCTATTATGTATAATTTACAATAGCATCGTTATACATTTTTAATTCACTGTATCGAAACCAGAGGCAGCAACAAACATTTTGTTTTCTAAATTAAAAAAATTGTTTTTTATTTTCGAATTTTCAAAACAGCGTACTAATTTGCCATGGTAACCAACAGCTTAATTCTAATAAAATATCCGTGTTATAACATGAGGCAGTCATTTACTATATATAATTATATTACTTAATCAAAGATCAATTTTGTTTCCACTATACGGAATGTTGATTAAAAGAATATATGTGTTTTCTATTATAACTATGTAACTATAAACCCTTCCAGTCTGATGATGTTTACTTGTCTGACGTAGCAAGTTACACACTAAGAACTTTCCACCACAAAGGTAACTGCATATAACAAAAAATCTCAGGGAAATCGTGACACGGCAAAAGTTACAGATATTAGTATTTTTCCCGATACCGACTGCTGCCGTTCCATCAAGATTTGTTACAGGCGGTTACGCATTTAATTCAATTTCTCTGTAAATACGAAACGTTTTTCAGAATGGGAGTTAATAAAATATGCATGTGGATGTGTTTTGTGCACATTTTATCGGATTTTAAATCAAAAGCTGATTCTAAAGGGAATAATAATATGACGAAAACAGTAACGGATAGTGAGGACAGTAAGTATCACCTTCAAAATTACTTAATTTTTAACTTTAATTGTACTTTTTTGTCTTAGACTTATTTATTTAATATATTCTACATATGTATTGTACTACAGAAATATTTCAATTACAATGATGCGTTAAGTTTTTTTTTTTTAATTCTTTCACAAATTAATTTCAAACTACGAAAAGCGCAAAAAAGAGCATAGATAAAATTTGAAATTAAGTTAATAATGAAATAGTCCGATATTAAAAGAAAGCCGTTTTGTTTTAAAAAGACCACGCACGCATATTTGTCATGTAAAAACAAATTTTACTTAAATACACTGTACTATAAATATTCTTAAGAATTAAATTTGAAGAGTCCATTCAAAGCTGATTGAATTTATAATGGTCGTTTCAAAATTTCAAAATTTATTCATTTTCATGCCCTTCTACTCTATATTCAATATCACATCTAAGCGTTCATATTATAAATATTTCGTTTATAATTGAAGCTTTATTGTTTCAGAAAATTCGTTAACAAGTAGATTTCGGACTATAAGTAATATATCAAGTGAACAACGATTAATGACAGATTTGCTATGGAAGTACGAAAACTCCGTGCGACCAATTTACAACTCTTCCAAAGCAGTCGCGGTTGGTCTAGGGCTTACATTAACACAGATTCTTGACTTGGTAAGTTGGAATTAGTTCGTTTAAATGCGTGTTTTCTTAACTGATTTGTTATAATTGATCCCAATAAAAATGTTTCTAGAAAAAAAATAATAAAATATATTTGTAACTCAAATTACTGTTTCAATGAAAACAAAACTGAACACTTACAATTCTTTTAAAGAAAATGCTTTCTCATTTGATGAATTGAATCTGATCTTGAAAACATGTTTTGCTAGAAATAACAATAAAATATATTTATAATTTAAATGACTGATTTGTTAAAACATTACACTAAATTTTTTTAACAAAAATATATTTAGTAAAACTGATCTGAAATTAACAGTCAAATTGATTTTTGTTAACTTTCTAAAAAATTAGCAAAAAAGAGGAAAGTCTATTAGAATATTGTAATTATTTTCACACTGTATTCGGTATTGATTTCTACAGCGTTGTTATTATCATAACTATCAATATCTCTTCAAACTGAGTTTCCTTCTCAAACTATACAAGCATACCATTTAAAATAACAAAACGATTTGAACAGAAAGAGACGTGAACTACCGTGTTTTTTTATTATTGAAAAAGACAATACAGAAATTGCTTAAATAAAACTCATATTAAGGCCAATGTTATAGCTTTACACATTCCGGTTTGTTTAAACATTAAAGTGAATTTGTCTACATGTGGCATATTTTCCATAAGTATTTAAGAGATATTGATAAAAGCGGTAAAAATGTACCATTTGTATAATATCAAGAAATATATCTGGAAACAAAATGTTGATAAAGTTCTAAAGTGATTTATTATATACATACATGAATAATAAAAATATTGTCTTCTAGAATTCTTTATCATCTGCTTTATATTGGTATGTCATACTGGATCATGTATATAGCATTTACCTATAACATTAATAATTCTTTTGTAGATTGTTTTTCACCTGTAAGACTTAGTACTATCAACATAATTTCTATAGTATTAGACACCTACCATTAAAGACTAACTTACTTTAAGACACAAGATCACTGAACGCACCGCAACTTCTTTTTCCAGAAATATCAAAATTTAGATATGAGTAAAAGTCTTAAACTATTTTAGGTACAGATTGAGGTAAATATTCTAAATTTCCATTAATAAATAATATTGATTTGATCAGTTGCACATGTGACATAAAATCATGAAATAATTACAAAAAGGATGTTGCTTGTAAGAGTGAGATACGCAATCCGATATAAGATACTAATACAAAACAGATAATAAATTGTTGTAGAACCGAAAAAAAAATGTAATTCGTCATATAAATGTTCATAATTAAGCACTTGGTAAACTTTGTTTTCAAGACGATTTTTACCTATGTCAAAATAATAATTTTATTTTAATTTATGTTGTGTTTTATAAATATTTAAAGTGGTTGAAAATGAGTCCAATATAGACCATACCTCTTTAATCAATAAAGATCACAACTATCTGTGTTAAACATTTGCTACGGGCAATTTATGAACTCTGATCATATTGCATCAAATCTTTTTCTTGCCGTATTTTATCAATCAACTATTTTCGCAATATCTTAAACGTTAAAACAAATTTATGGAATATATTAACGTTACTGTTGAAATAATTGTATTCATGCGAGGGATTTTCGTGCTATAGATATAGATCAGAAAGCTTAAGATAACAAGCAAGCTCGTGAAAGTGCTCTAAATTATAATGCCCAATTTTTTTCTATTGTTGAAATTCTTTCTTACCTTAAATCTATTCAATTTGTCTGTTTTGTTAACATAATTTGTATCTGAATAGATGACATGCAATGTTCTAAAAAATCAAGATATTTGCAAAGCTTCTCTAATCTAGTAAAGCAAAATAATTTACATCAACTTCTTGGACGCATTTGATTTCTTTTTCATGGTTATAACACACACTGCTATTTGACCTCGGGATAGAGTATCTTTTGCCTCCAGTTAATATTTGCATAAACGTTAAATCCCGTACATTACAGCCAGTATACTTATTGTAGTCCGGCATTGACGTGGATTTTAAGTAATCCTTCAGACGGGTTGGTCATAATTGGAAACTGCTTCATTTGCATATTATCAGAAGTCAGCAATCAACTTCAATATAATCCGGAATGGTTCAGATGATGAATAAGACTGATGAAAAGAGTAAAAACCATTCTCTTATTGTTGTACGTGAGACTTTCGTTCTGGTGGTTTATTGCGTATTATTACTATATTCGTTAACTTAGGTTGAAATATTTTCGTTTCTAAACTTGCATTATTTCGCTTTGACGACAAGGTTAATTCATTACCATGTTATGAAATTCCGCTTTTAATCAGTATTTATTTTTAAAAAAAATGACAAAAAAACACAAAATACAACCGTCCACCCCCCCCCCCCTAAAAAATAATAAAGACACAATAAAAACACAAAACAACAACAATAAAACAAGCAAAATCCGCATTTCAAAGCGTAGAACTCATGACATTATATCAGACATTGTAAGAACAAACACAATTTAAGGCTTTTTCATTAGTATGAACTATTATTATTGATTATAAAAGATGATCGAAATCGGTAAACACTTTGTTGTGTTGCTTTTGTGTATGCCAAATTCACAGATCGGGTTCTTGAAAAAAGATAAATTATGTGTTTTTACCAAACGCAAAAAGAAATACCTTTTGGTATTAATATTCCGTAAAAATGTTTTATGTGTATTCTGTGATGCAAAACACCTAATATATCGTAGAAAAAAATCTCCATTAACTTAATATTTATTTAGCAATCCACGATTTTATTTGACATGGCGGGAATCGAAATACTTTATTGTTTTATATTCAACTTGGTGAATGTTTATACAGGTACATTGCTTGTAAAATATCAGATCATTGGCCACTGCTGTTTTACCAGAACAACTATTTTTATTATGTAAAAGGAACTTAAAATTAAAAGCGTAAAAAACTCTTTTATCTCTGTCGAGCAAAGAAGCAAACTTGATACAACTTTTCTCTGTATTTGCAAAAAAATATTTATTTATTATCATTTCTTCATATTTTCTTGTGCAAGTGATCCTGTTGTACGATCGTCAAGTTTTATATTTAAATGTTTGGTAACTCAGTTGTTCTTCCTGTAAAATCCATAACAAGACAATAAATGATAATTTGACGTTGGGTAGGCAATACCATGCTATTTCAAAATTCTGTTGTATAAGATACACTTATTTCAAAATGGAGTGCTAAAAACTTTGTTTCAGCGTGTGTACTGCTATATCCCATCATTAATGTTAAATTTATTCCTTTGAACGTATTTTTTCAAATTTAGTGTATTTCCAAAAGTGGGTTAAGTAAAGTCTTGAAATTCTCTATACTACCATAATTATCACGAAGACATAAAATAATAATATTATATTTTTAACATTTTTTATTGTTGTAACAAAAATTTGTGGTTTTCTTAGTATATTTCTTTTTTTTGTCACTTCACACCTGTCTGTCTTGTAGTGACCAATACAAACTTTCTTCATTTGCTTAAATCTGTGTCATTTCTTTCGACGCCTGTTCATATTTCAACGTTAATTATATTGGTTTTCGTGGTGATTTCTTTACGAATTTTATTATTTATAAAGCGTTCAGGAACGCAGTTCATAAAATCTGGAGATGAATTTGTGTTCGGAGATCAATAAATCGTTGTAGAACGTATTTGCAAATCAAAATAACTTGTTACTTAAAATAAATTTAACTCCCGAGACATAAATCGGGGAAAAAAGTCAGTTATTCGAAAAGACTCTTTTTCAGAATAATTGGAAAAGTAAATAAAATCAAACAAAATATTGTACTTTTTTATTAATATGTTTTTTATTAAAGTAAAAGACTGAGTTCGATGCATTTCAGGTAGCTGATTTTTTTGTATCTAAATCAATAACAATTAAGCTGACCAACACAAATATATTCATACAAATCAATATGACATTATATATAAAAGGGTAACATCTATAATGACCCTACTTTTAGTCAACCAGCATGAACATAAAACTCTGCTGCATTTCTTTCTTGTATAACTGATGACAGAGTAATTGCTCTGCGATAAATGGGTGTACAAACACCTTTTTCAATACAATGATTTCTATGCATTGATGACAGTAAAACTGATTTGAAACGTCCAGTTATTTTTATTTTACTTTCCGGCATGTACGTTGCAACCAATGTCTGTCGGTAATCTACAAATATTTGTCAGTAAGGTTTCTGTTCTCTGTCCTCTTACTGACAAAAGCCTTATTTGCATATCATCGAAACACTGCAAGACCTTGTTAAGAAATAAATGTGAGTTTTATAAGTGTTTCTCGACCGACACATACAATTGTAGTCAAACGTCATGTTTTTCTTGTAGATTTTTGTTTACTTATATAAAATGATCTAAGTCTTACATTTAAAGCTGCAAGCCTTCAGATGAGCCAAAATATTCCAAGAACAATCAAACTTGAGACAAATATTGTAACATTGTAAAAAAGTATAAAGATGCCTTGCTGAATTATTTAATTTGCATGTAATGTGCGATTAGTGTATTTATCCGATTTTGCATATAATTTTGGTAATTTATGTGCATTTCTAGTGCCGTATGCATTATGTAAATTACTTTCTTTGTGTACTTTATAATATTTTCCATGAATGAAAAATATTATGAACATGGACGCATACTGGAGGCATGATGGTAGTTTTCGGTCAATAAGTACAACAAAATCAAAGAAAAAGAAAAAAGAACACACTGGATTATGACTGTGTATCATCTAGTACGAAAATGAAATTCCGCGTTTACTCTCATTGTATTAAATAAATTGTACAACTTTATATTTTACTTGCACAAAATAAACCAATATAATGGGGATTATAACCTCTTTGGGACGCATATTACTTCAGTCCATTCTGAATTCAATCAAAATATTAAACTAATCAAAAGAAATAGTAACTGTCACAATATTTCAGAATAGTGTTTGCATGTACATTAATACAAAATTGAAATCAATTTTGCTCAAAATGAACTGTCTTAAGAACCCATATTCATGTTTCTAGCCAAAAGCATCGTGTGTTGAAAAATAGAAATTAATTGAATTTCACAATTTTAGAGTTTCCTTTAGTAAAATATTAAAAACGTTAGTCAAGAGTAATTTACGAAATGACACGCGATATTCAACACAGCGTCATTTTACCATTTTTTTCTCATAATAAGAATAAGAACCGGCTTTATTGGCCTATTTATATTTCTCATATTAAAAAGCATTATAATTTCATTAAAATTATTTTTATAAGCATGTTTTATATAAGCTTTAGATAAAAGTATTTGAAAATAGCCTGAAAAGTGGTTTGAAGTCCATAACCTTAACCACTCGGGAACATGTGTAATTATCTTTAGAAAACTCTGAAGAAAAAAAAAATATACTGAATAAAGTCATGCTTGTATTCGGAATTTAACCATGCTAGCAAAATAAGTATTCAATTTCAGTGATAAACAGAATAAATATATGCGTTCGTAGGTAAAGACATAATGATTATAAAACGGATGTGTCTATATAAAACACTATTTATTTGAGAAAGAATTAATTTCCTTCCTGTTATTAAACACATTGATCGTCGTGGTCCAATAAAAGTGTTTAATAGAGATCAATTTATGTGTCAGATTTGTATCATAAATTTGGCGTGTACATCATTAAGCTTGCGTGGTATATTTCGCTCACCCACCCCGGTCAACATAATTTCAATGATTTTACTCGACACATTGTTTGTTACCTAGATGCAAAGCAATTCGTTTAAAGACAGTAGATGATAACTTTAAACTGGAACTGATATAAAAACAAATTATAGCTTCAAAAGATTTTATGATATCGCTAAAGCCGGTGCTAGAGAGCGTGAGGGATGTTACACATTTCCATTAGCCCTCATAAATAGATTCGTTCAAACCGAAACTGAAATTTCCATTTAACTTTCTTGCTAGATCTCCTATTTCGTAGATTTTATTTTACAAAAAATCGTTCCAATAACTTACATATTTAAACGTCACAAACACTTTATAACTCTAACACGGCTACTTTTCCTTACAAAAATGTCGATAGCTCTTGACGAAGAGGAAGAAAGCCAACCACCATTAAATTTGACAATTTTGACTGAATCTGACTAGTGCTTTTATTCAGCAGTGAAATGTGATCCCGATGTTATCATTATTCCGTGTACGGTGAATGGCACATATACAGTCAAACAATTTTTTAGTACCATGTTATGAAGCTTCAACTACATGAATCATAAAGTCTATCAAAGCAAGTTCTGAAATTGCTGTTGAAAGAGGAAAACATGACAGGAGAGGTTAACAAGTGAGAGCAAGGCTCACTGTTAACAGCCTCAAGCAATACACAGCTACAAAGGCCTTCCTACCAGTTATGTACCAAGATAGATACAATCAATACTAAAAACATAAATAATCAAATAAAACAAAGGTGTTTAAAATAGAGAACAATAGAATCTCTTAAGAAACAAAATTGAAAAAAGGTTTCAGGATTGGTTTGATTCAGCTTTTGAATGAACGAAAATGGAAAGCCCAAGTTACTTCCACATCCCTAGTACCGACTTTAGCAGAATTCAACATTTAAACACGAAAATGATGAAGCTTTGAATTTAGAAACATCTGCATGAGTCGTGTTGAAAGAGACATTTAGATACAAATATAAATGTTAAATGCTGTGTTAACAAATCGAAAATAGGTTTAAACTGATTGCCACTAATGAACATAAAAATGTTACATCATATAAACATAAAGATGTAAGAATAATTCATCAAATCAACATTGTATCATATCAACATGTATTTTCAGGACGAGAAAAACCAAGTGTTGACCACAAATGTTTGGATGGAAGTGGTAGGTGTGATTTTATACCATTTTTTATAGAACATTATACTTGACGATATATGTATATTATTATAAGAGTTCATATTTCGATTAAAAATAATTAAGACAAGGGCTGGGTGTATCCAAATGAGATACATTTACAGATTCATTACATATTTTGTCAAAAAATGTAAATATGTCATCGTTTATAAACCTTTAAAGTCTGAAGATTAATAAAAATACAAGTAATGATACAAATACCAATGCAATCACACACTATGGTAACAAAACCCATTTTTGATTGTCTTGAAAAAATCTAACTTACCTTAGTTCAGAAACTTTAGAAATCAAGGATATTTCAGGTTAATGAATTGAGTCACTATGTATTTCGTCATGATAATAATATTGAATGAAATATATTGAAATGTATGGATATATTATCTTAATTAATTGCATCAATTTCACAATTAAAATCAAAATCTATATCAAATAATGTTTTAAACTTTGCAAGGAATGGAAAGATGAAAAATTGATTTGGGATCGCCGCGATTATGATGGAACAGACAATATTCGTATACCATGTCGACGGCTGTGGCTGCCTGATATCGTGCTCTATAACAGGTAAAATGATTTTTCTGGTCCTTCGGGATCATTGATTCTGGCACCTTTTAACTGTTGAAAATAGAGTACCTCTCAAGCAGGTGCTAGTGGGCGTGATGTTGCACTTATTCATTGTCCTTCATGTGCAGACTCAATTAAAAGTTTGTCATTGCTGTTATTAATGCTTTCGAAGGACCACCCTTCTTCCAGATTTTTGAAAAATAATAACTAATCAAACGTTTAATTATGAACTAATGAACATTGAATATTAATTTGTCAAATATGTTTATATTCAGTACCTTCTGCAGTAAATTTGGAAGCAGACGCTGGACTACATTTGTTAAAATCAAATATCAATATGAAAGTCTGTTTGTGGTCGCAATCGTTCATTACACCAGAGCGCAACTTTGCTAAACCTTTTTTGCAAAGAAAGTGAGAAAATTTCAAATTGAAAAAAAAAAACAAAAAAAAAAACACAAAACAACAAGTTGTTAATTTGCTTATGATAAATAAAATCACTTTGTAAAGGATCGACAAAATAAAGCAAAAGCCTTACTCATGCCAGTTTACACATAGCTTCTGTCATTGCCCTGTACTTGTATTTTTAAAGGAGCTCCGTTGAGGCCGGAAAAACCATACATCATAACCCAAAATTATTTTTTTTCTCATCAAGTGCAGCACTAAAAATAGAACAATCTGCAAGTATTATAGAATGAATTTAAAAATCGATCCTCATTGCAATTTGTTTCCTAATTGAGTGAAAAACGTTGCAATTCTTTTGATTTTCAATTTTGTTGTGTTGGAATTTCTTAAGGGATTCTGTGTTTTACTTTTTATTTGTGGGTCATGTTTAGAAATGATTATAATGGGAAAACGAGCTGATGGATTTGTCTGAAAAATTGCACACATGCTATATGCTCAGACCTAATGAACTGGTATAAAAACATTGGAACAATATTTTCAGTTATCTGCTTTAACTTTCATGACATGGTATAGTCCTGTCATGTCAAAACAAAAAAGAATCAGTGGAGTCCCTTTCATGTGGGTAAAAAGCAAAGGTATAATAATAATAATAATAATAATAATAATAATAATAATAATAATAATAATAAATAAATAAATAATAATAACATTATTAATTATTATTATTATTATTATTATTATTTATTAATAACATAATATTATTATTTTTTATTATTATTATTATTATTATTATTATTATTATTATTATTATTAATAATAACAATAATAAAGCAACATCAAAAAACAGTGTTCATAGTTTTGCATATTATGACATCTCATTTTAGTGTTGACGACTACACTTCCGGTTACATGTCCAGTCTTGCTATGGTGTATGATAATGGACGTGTGTTCTGGGGTCCAGTTGTCAGATTCCGAAGCTCGTGCAAGATTGACATTACTTTTTTCCCTTTCGACGATCAGGTAAAAATTGTTCAGGATAAGCAAAATTCTTTATGAACCAAATGAAAGCTATAAAAAGATAAACTGAATGCTTCCAGAGGAGCCAAAATATTCCCAAAAATCAAACTTTATAAAAAAGGACTGAAATCTTAAGGGAAGTAAAAACATTCACGATAATAGTAATACTTTCCATATTATGTACGATTTATGATCGACTTTTCAATATTTTCACCATATTGCGTAACTAATGCAGTCCCATATTTTGACCTTTTATTTGCTATATTTACATGGTTTGTTTGTAAGTGCTGTTTTAAATTTGAAAAAAAAAAATAACTTCACAATATTGTACTTTTTTTAAATACTTTCAAAATTTTTCTGAAAATAAGCAAGAATCTGGAGGCATGCTGCTTTAAAATATATGCTTTTTTTAAATAAGCGAATGTTAAGATATTATATGTATTTTACGTCATTGCCTTTTAAACGGCCAATTATATTTCAAAAATGTACTTTGTAACAAAGAAAAGAAAAACATGTATAAAATTCTTATTTTGATAGTTGTATTTCAGAAATAATGCCTCCCATATTTTATACTTGATCTTTTACTTGTTTCGTTTCTTTGAACATTGTAACCTGTTGCATCACTATAATGTATGATGCAAACATGGACCCTTCAGAAGATAACATTAATAAAAACATATTATATTTAGGTATGCCATTTAAAGCTTGGTTCTTGGGCATATAACGGTTTCCAAGTGAACGTCATTAATCGATCAGAGACGGTTGATTTATCAAACTACGTAGATAATGGAGAGTGGAAATTGATTGGCTTAAAGGTACGCAAGGTGTAGGTACTAGATAGATTTCTAATTTGGAAACGAATTTATGCATCAGATTGCAAGTATTTGATATACCATATGGAAAATATCTCAAATAATAATAATAAGTCAATAGTGTACTTTGTATAACGATAAGTGTTACGAAAACTAGGGCAGAAAGCAAAACGAACTTAATTGCGATATCATCCCAAAAGTCGATTTTGATAGGCACTTTAAAGTTCGTAATTTAGCCATTTAAAGTTCACAATCAATTAAAGAGTGCACTACTTAACGCAATTCTATTCTATTAAATTGCGATATATGATTCCTTTTTGTAGATGATAAGATATCATAAAGTAAATGTTTATGTCAATATCTGTTTTTTTAAATATTATTTGGGTTTTAAAATAAGATTGATTTATCGTACTATTATCTAAATTACTTTCTAAAACCCCGTAAGGTTGTAACCTTTCCAAACTATATATTTACCTCATTATAGACATACATAAAGAATAGTTAGTCTGTATGCGACTTTTTTACCTTTTGATGATTGCTGTAATCACCATGAAAATGAAAAACAGGCATTAATTAAGATTCGATAATCGTCTATCTGAGGCATTAAAATAGCGCAACCGGAAATGTTTGAGAAATGATACGCCCAATTACTTAATGTCGTCTGCTGTACTGTTATTGATTTGGCGTTGTAATTTATCTTCTGCGGAAATGTATGTCTATTTTATCTTAGAGACTGATTTTTACATTTAATGTTTGTGTCTGATCAACAACTACAATTATTTTAATATCACAGAAGGAAAATAAAATGATTTTAACGACACTGCTTATGGTGTCGAAATGTTACAACTATATAATAACACAGTCTGATATTATGAGTATTTTTTATTGTACATACGTCAGTTTATTGCTCGTATGAAATTTCTAAACATTTTGTACCTGTCAAAGGTTTGAACGGCTATCATTTTATGAATCATGGACCGGCTGAAATATACCAACATTCGTACCTCTGTAACAACGATTGTTGGTGTTGAAACAAAACAACATAAAATATGATTGATTACCCGCTAGTTGTACATATGCTGTAGTTCAGCAAAAAACATACAATTGCATTCAATATATTATAATATATATTATAATATCTTTAAAAGTTACTGATATACCAGAAATATATCTTTTTATTCTTTTTAATAGATATTGTTAAAATTATTAAAAAAGGAAAAATGTCTCTGTGCAATTTTCTATGTTATAATAAATATGTTGTATAATTTATGCATGTTGAGGCATTATTAAAATAGTCACACTTTTGTATTGCACTAATACAAATTTAACTGCAGGTCACAAGAAACTCTGTTGTCTACAACTGTTGTAGTGAGCCGTTTCCAGATGTTATGTTCTTCTTCCATTTGCGCAGACGCGTGAAGTACTACTTCATGAACATCATAATACCATGCATAATTTTATCTTTCCTATGTTTGGCTGGGTAAGATTTTTAATAACGGTTCATAATATTATTTTAAAAGTCTACTGACTTGTTTGATTGAAGAACAAAGTTATAAAAAGGAAATAAACATACGGCATGAATATAAGCTCTACAATTATTAAATAGAAAATGTTTTAAAATACCTTTTACCATTTTTTTGCATATTACTGAATTCATGTTATGGGCATGTTTAGCTTTATATTTTAAAAAAACAAAAATACTGATTTAGATGTTTTAAATTCCAAAAAAAAAAAACTGGTTGAAAGCAGTAAACAGCAAGAAACCTTTGTCAATCGTAACGTAATTGAAAGATGGTTCTGCTTCTTCTATCTATGTAACTATACACTAGTCAAATATAGCTTGCTTATAAGGATTTGATTTTACCTTAGTGTAAAATAATCATATTATTGCATTCCTTTTTTTTCAAATTTCCCCGATTTGAAACATGAATATTGAACAGCATAGATTATCTTATTCTAAAAGTACTTTATTTTGTTTTGTAAACATTTTCTTCAGTTCTTGCTGCCACCAGCAAAGTGGTGAAAAAAGATCACACTTGGTCTCTCTGTCTTGCTGACAATTTACAGTTGTTCATTTGCTAATGGTTTGCTGACAAGAATGCCTCAAATCTTCTCTGAAAGTATTTCTCTCATAAGTAAGTCAGTTTATTCATATTATATTTTTAACAGAAAGTAATATAATGTCAAAAAAGACCTTTTATGTCATTTTTATAAATATCTGGTGAGAATGAAAGTGGTTGTAAATGTTGTTCACAATTGTACAAGTTATTGACAAAACTGATAATGATGCGCTTCGCAAATTACTTAAACATTTTGGTAATTGGGTAACAATAAAAAAGAAAAAAAAAAAACAGTAAAAGTTAACTAATTGAATCGGTAAATGCATAGGCAACTGTTGTCATACATAACACGGCTAATTTCAAATTTAATTGTTTCATAAATAGAGAAAGCAATAATCCCCAAAGAAAGTCCAACACAACATTAATTGAAAATGTTGCAGGCTCGGTTTTATTGAGCCTGTTCATGGACGGTACTGTAAAGTGCAAACTATCGCCCCCTAGCAAACCGGCTTAAGCAGAATTCAACATTTAAAGTGAATTGGTACAATTTTAATTTTGAAACATGCTTGCAGATGTGTCATATGGCGGTTATCATGGAACCTTCAAATGTGACAATAAGTGCCATTCCATGAAAAGCGGCATATGGTCCCCAAGTAAAAAATGCGTGTGCCCTTAATGAGAAAACAATGAGCGGAACTAAAATAAAAATGGAATTTTGAAAGGGGATCAGAAGGTTATGAAGCCTATATCACAGATAATACGTCAAAAAACAATTTTTAAAAAGCAGGCCAAATATACCTAAGGGTGATTCAACAGTATTCAAGTGAGGAATACTGGGAACCACCCCAAAGGAAACAAGAAAATTAAATTCAAAATAGAAAAAAAAAATAAACTAAAAATTAAACTACAAGCACAACAAAAAATATGTCGTGCTGAACAATCTTTAAGGATCGGAAATATAACATCTCTGATTGAATGTACGGGGTGACTCTTTACAGCCTCCACACGGAACAAATAAACGCTGATGTGGCGATAAAAAGAGAAAGCAAGAATCCCAAGAAAGTCCAAACTCAACATAATTGAAAATGTTGCAGGCTCGATTTGATTGAGCCTGTTCATGGACGGTACTGTAAAGTGCCAAACTACCGTCCACGCCCCCCTAGCACCAAGTTTTGTCTCATGTTTTAGAAAAGTATCGTCAAAAATAGATTGAATGAATTTTTTTTTGTAGCTTGATATTTTCCAAATAAACATCTTCTTTGTCCTTAAAAGCGCTATGTTATTCATTCACAAAAACCATGATTATCACTCCTTTTTAAACTTTTCAGGTATATATTTGAATGGTCGTTTTATCCCATGTCATGTGTGTCTATCTTTGCTTTCTGTCTACATCCTGAGTCTGCATCATCAACGAGGAAGACCCTCGGCGATGTCCTCAGTTTATCAAGATCATTGCTTTCTCCATTTTCGCGCCATTACTCTGTCTGAAACTCAGATCAAACCGGTCACGTGACGGAAAGTACAAACGGCAGGAAATAAAAGTCAAACATTGTTTAAAAAAGATAAACAGGAGAATGATTCATCTAGAAGGGATCAAGGAACATCAGAATTTTGAGGAAGAATTGGACCCATTTGTTGTCTGACTCTAGTTTAAATGGTGGCTCTGATCCTGTTCTTAAACATTACCAAGATAAGCAAAACTCGGTGAATGAGTTGATATACAATGGTTGCATAAGAAACATAACCTAGAATGCTTGGAGGATATGTCTTTTCAAGAGTGGCGTGATGTTGCTTTTGTTATTGATCGCCTGTTGTTTGTTTTTTTTCCTGATTGTGACAATAGCGGCAACTGCTGGTATTCTAAGTCTTTCGTCCGGAACAATCACTCAGTGGGTTTACAGAAATTAAAATTAAATAGGAAACAATTTAGACATTGAATCTAGCGACCTCATTTTATAACAATTGTAGCAAGCAAGCAAGGGAAATAATTTTAATCGAAATTCAAACGAATTGTTATACTTGATAGTACAAATGAATGATACGTGAGAAACTGTAATATTGAAGGTATTTGACACGCACATTTCAACAATTAGAACATATACATACAGAGATTAAAAATTTTCACTTACACGGATAAAATTGTGTATGATTATTTGTTGGGGTTTACGTCACAACCGACACAGTTTGGTCATAAAGGCGACGTTCCCGGTTTACTGGGTTTATTAAAACACTACCCTGTCCTTCCGTGCAATTTTTCCCGGCAAACCCAGTAAAAAACTACCGAAAGTTCCGTAAGCTAGCTTTAAAAACTTTATCACCAAAAAAGAATCCAAATCCCGTCGGGATTCGAACTCACAGAGGTGCAGGACAAGTGATTTGAAGTCAACGACCTTAACCACTTGTCCACGGACGCCCCTTACATGGAATAAAACTTCCGTACAAAACATACTACAAATAACTGTTTTAAGAAGAAACCTTAATGTTTTATCTAAGTTAGAGTAAACCATAATTGTTGTTGAGAATGCGAATGAAAGTGTATATATTTCGACACAACAATCAAACGTTTACTGCAGAAATTCCTTGTTGACCGTGCTATGTACAAACCGCTTATTAATGAAACGATGTTTAGGGTTGGCTCAGGATAATGTATATTTGAGGCAATTAGAGGGTGTTGTTCCATGAATGCTACTAATAGTCTAATGTTTAAAGCACTATTGAATTCGGTCTGAGACCGACCGACAAATTCCTTATTATCTTGAAAGGTATTGCTTGATTTTATTATTACTGGTTTTACGACTAGTTTCACAGATAAATCAATCTTCGATAAATGTTTCGGTGATCTTCATGAGATGTTTGTACCCAGTAAAATGTGATTACATTTACATTTTGCTTACAAAATAATTAACCTGAGCCTAAAGTGCAATAAATAAAGATATATATTGT